CCCCCCCCCCCTATCCCGACTTTTCGACTGTTCCTCTGGCTGACACTGCTCTGTATCTCCGCCACACCCTCCTCCGCTCGCCCTCCCACCCTGAGCAGCACACCGTCGCTCAAGCCCTAGCCATGCAGTCGACCACCCGCGAGCGTAAGAGCTACTCGCTCCAGATGGCCAGCGCCCAGCTGGCGAAGCGCCGTCGGGCGACCAACCGGAAGTGCGTTCCTCTTCTTTGGGCGGCACCCGGCCCACGCCTGCAGTACCAAGACGCCGCCCAGCCGCCAAGGAGAGCCGAGGCCGGGCACCCTCCTTTTGCACACCACCAAACTGACACGGTTCCCACACACACACACACACCCTCCTTTCCTGCGCTTTCAGCCGTGGCGGTCCCGAGCGGAAGGACAACCGGAACCCGAACCGCCCGACCGTTCGCACCGATCCGAGCCAGCGCCGGCTGCGTGTGCGTATTTTGCTCGGCCCAGGCGCCTCTCCTCCTTTGCCTCCTCTTGAGTCTCATCCGCCGCCTCTCGCCCTCTTTCCCTCTTTTCCTCTTTCCCTCTCCCCTCCCCCCCCCCGCACACACACATACATACACACGCATTTGCCCCCTGCCCTCCCTCCTTTCCCTCCTCTCCGCCGGCGGCCCCCACCTTCTGACATGCCTCTTTCGCCTCCCTCCCCCTCCTCTCCCACCTGCAGATCGAGGGTCTGGGCGAGATCAACATCTCCGAAGCCCGCGACTTCCTACGCACGCGTCAGCGGACGGCCGAGATCGTCACCGTATGTCACTCGGCCCACTGCCTTCCCTCCCGCCCCTCCACACAGCCCACCACTGACCTTGCTCTTCTCTTCCTTCCCAACCACAGTTTGAGCAGGATCACCTCGGTGTCGACATTTCCCTCAAGGACCCCGAGCATTATTCGCGCTGTCTCAAGCTTTCTCAGACTTGCTTCAATGGCCGCACCGTGCGCGACTCTCCCTGCACATCTTGCCTTCCCTTGCTTCTGAATCGCCTGTCCATGCTCCCGCTCACATGCTTTCCCCCCCCCCTCTCTACCCACTGCTCCTGCCCTCCTCTCTTCACATCTCATCTTGACGCCGCGCTGCTGCTCCAGGCCATTGTCAAGACCATCTACACTCTCCCCCTGTCACACATTGTATGCATTTGCCTTGCTCGCCCTCTGTCGCCACCCCTGAGGCTGGCCCTCACACACGCTCACACACCCGCAGCTCATTCTCTCGCGCATCCTGGTCGAGGCCTGCCTTTCGAAGGACGAGGGCTCCGATGATGGTACCAACAAGGTGGACCTTCGCGGCCTCGTGTCCCACCCGGCCATCGTGGAGAACGACATCAAGGTGGATTTCTCCGACTCCCTCTTCGTGACCGCCCTCGCGAAGATCATCAACCGCCAGTTCCCGGATGTGCGTCCTCGGCACCCCCCGCGCACCCATGCACCGACGCGGTGGGCTCTTCGCCACTGCACCCCCTCCCCCCCCCCCGCCCATCCCCTCCGCGAGTCGCATCGCATGGGTGTTCTAACCTCTCCCAATGTGCCTTCCTTTCTCTTTCCCCTCTTGTGCGGACCGAAAACAGGCCCAAACTCTGCTGATGGACAACAACAACATCAAGAACCTCCGCCAGTTCAACATCCTCTCGCAGTTTGTGCCGAACACCATCAACCTTTCGTTGTCCGGCAACTTGGTGCGCACGCGCGCGCGCATCCCTCCCACATGCCTTGCCCCTTGCCCGTCCTGACCTGTTCCCTGTCCCCACCCCGGCCCACCCCACGCACGCCCCAGATTGGATCCCTCGATGAGCTTGGCCACCTGAAGTCTTTCAAGTCTCTGAAGAACCTTCTCTGCTTCAACAATCCGATTGCCGTCGAGCCGCCATCGAATGAGTGCGATTCCCTCCCCACCTTTTCCCCATGTGCCTTTCCTTTTCCTGCTGCCTCCCACCGCCCATCGCAGCCATCATCTTACATGCATCTCCTTGCCCATTCGACCTCCTCTGTGCCCCTCCATGCCTGCTCTTAGTGCGGTCCTCGACGAGATCCCCCACCTCCAGACCTTCAACGGCCTGCCGCTGGAGAGCTTCTCCATTGCTGGCGCCGCGGTCACCGGCACCTCGTTCAAGTTCCCCGAGAACAGCAACTTCATCCCGGAGGACAACCGGAAGTTCGTCAATGACTTCCTCACCAAGTACGCGCCATTTGCCAGCACATTATCCTGCAACGGCTTCCGGTTATTTACTCTGGCCCTTTCCCTCGCCTTGGCGTCCGGCCCTCCTCCTCGCAGCTACTTCTCCACCTACGACAACAACCGCCTTGAGCTCGGGACCTTCTATTCGGCCGAGGCATGCGCCTCCATCTCCGGCGTGCCCCCCTCGCATTGCCAGGCCGACGGGAACTTCGTCTCGCGCAATCTTCTCATGACTTCGAACAGCTCCCACTCTAAGAGCCGCTTTGGTGCGTCTTACCTGCCCTCGTGCCGGGGATACCCTCCCCCCACGTGCTGTGCATATGCATGTGCCTAACCCCTTGCCCTGCTGCTCGATTCTTGGCAGATCGCAACGTCGACCTGATGGTCATTGGCCGGGAAGCCATCATTCGGACGTGGTTCGGGCGCCCGAAGACCGAGCACGACCTGTTCAGCTTCCGCGTTGACGTCACGCCCCTGGACTCGTCGCTTTTCATCAACATCCATGGTGATGTCGCTGACATCAGTGACAAGGGTATGTGTTCCGGCTCTCGGCCGAATTGATTTGCCTCGACCTTCGGCGCGCGGCCTCCCCTCGTCTCCTGTGTCTTGTCCTTTCCTTGCTGCTCACACCCCAATCCCCATGCAACGCGCTCCCCTTTCATGTAACAACCCCAACAACCACAGGCAACAAGGGCTCCGCTCGTAAGGTTCGGTACTCCTTCGATCGTGTGTTCATCCTTCAGAGCCTGTGCGTGACCCAGATTTCCCCTCCCGTGCCTTCTTCTTCTGCCCTCTTTCTCTCTTTGCATCTCATCCCATCCCATCTGCTGCTAACCCATCTCACACAACCCCACCACCACTTCGGTGTGCATTTCTCCTTCTTCCTTTTTCCCCTTCCTCTCCCCCTCTTTCTTTCTGCCCCCAGTCCGGATGGCATTAAGATTGTCAACGACATGCTTTCCCTCCGGAACCTGTCCGGCCGCTTCACCAAGGCCATGAACGAGGTATGGCCTGTCCCCACTTTCATACCTTCCTCCTCCATATACCGCGCGCTCCTTGGGTCGATGCTGATATTTCCCTCTTCCTCTGCCTCCCCCCCCCCCTCCCCACACCAACACACACCACCAGACCAACATCGACAATGCCCGCAAGGTGGCTCGCCTGCTTGATGAGTCTTTCGAGTGGTCGCTGGAGTTCTGCCGGAAATATGTGGCCAATGCGCTGGACTGCGCGCAGATCCTGCTGGAGTTCCGCAACACCACCAACCTGCGTACCGACTTCGCGGCCGATTGCCTAGAGCGATCCCAGTGGGACGTGAAGAACGCGATGGCTCTCTTCGAGCAGCACCGGGTGCGCCCTTTTTTTTTCCGCCCACCATGCACTTGCCTGCTTCCCGCCCGCATTCCCCCCTCTTCTTCCCCCGCTCCTGCCTCGATGCTTCATGCTGACGACAAGCCCTCTCTCATCTCATGGTTTAGCCTTCCATGTTGCCGGAGCATTTCCGCATGTAGGTCGGCCTGGCACACCTGCATGGCTGCGCCTCCAGCACGCAAGGATGCCCTGACGCGGTGCTCTCCCGGTCCCTGGCTGCTTCCCTCTCCCTGCCCTTTCTCTCGTCTTCTCCTCCTCCCCCCTTCCTGCCTGCCTTCTCTCTTCACATCGTCCCCCCCTCCTCCTGCCACGCACACACATCCCCTCGTCCTACCTCCCGCTGGCGACCGTGCGCGCGCGCGCGTGCGTGCGTGCGTGCGTGCGTGCATGTGTGTGTGTGTAGAAGCAGGAAAGGGCGTGACCAAGGACGATCGGGCCCCTGCCTCCCTGCCCTACCCTGTGCCTGATGCCCTTCCCCCCCCCCCTCTCCAGAAGAATAACACCCTCCCCTTGCGGGGACTGGTGTGCCAAAGAGGAAAAACAGCGCCAACGCAAACGCTCGCGTCCTCCTTCCCTCCCCCTACCCTGTCCTCCACGCCGGCTGAACATTGCTCTAAGCCCGACAATATACTTTTCCCTTCTTTTTTTTTCAAACAAAAACCTGTCTCTCCCTGTCTCTCCCTCCTTCGCATATAGCCTCTCGCTGCCCTCTCGCCCCACAACAAAGGACCCTCGTCTTGACCATCTCTCGATTGCCGTGCACGGCTCCCATGTTTGGATACCCGGCGCATGCAAATGCAAGACTCTATGGTACATAAATTATTTGAAGGTGGATAAGGGGGGAGGGGGGGGGGGAGAGAGAGAGAGGCCAGGAGACTGTGAAATGTGAATCAGTCAAACCAGCCAGCCAGGCATGCATGTGGAAAGGCGAGCGAAACTAAATGCCCGGCCGATCAGCGTGCCTGGCAGGGAGGAGCACGTGTGCTCTTCCGATCTAGAGGCCAGGAGACTGTGAAATGTGAATCAGTCAAACCAGCCAGCCAGGCATGCATGTGGAAAGGCGAGCGAAACTAAATGCCCGGCCGATCAGCGTGCCTGGCAGGGAGGAGCACATGGTGCTCCTCTCTCCTGCGAGCAATCTTTCATAGCCCCCAGCTGGCGGGGGCCAGGCGCGACAGGTACAGGAGTACATGCATGGCACCCAGCGCAACACAGGCCAGCAGCGGCCCGGTCAATAGACCGTACACCGGCCAGAAGGCAGGTAGGGCAAAGACAATGGCCGCGCACAGGCCCAGAGCCCCGGTACGAGCGATGGTTGATGGGGGGCGCTCGCCCGTGCTGGCTCCAGGCTTTGTGCCTGCCTTGGCGCCGTCGGCTGGCGGTGGGGTCGGGGCCGACTCAAAGAACATCATGTGCATGATTGACAAAGTAAAGAGGATGCTTCCAAAGATCGGAAGAGCACACGTCCAGAGCCCCGGTACGAGCGATGGTTGATGGGGGGCGCTCGCCCGTGCTGGCTCCAGGCTTTGTGCCTGCCTTGGCGCCGTCGGCTGGCGGTGGGGTCGGGGCCGACTCAAAGAACATCATGTGCATGATTGACAAAGTAAAGAGGATGCTTCCAAAGCAAGTGGCCAGGAAGAACTGCGGCTGCACGCCGGCCTCCAGTGGGGCCATAATGACGCCCGGGAAGTCGCCATAGTACGCCTGTAGGCGAGGAGGACAAGAGAAGGACGGCAAGCCGGAGGGAGTGGCAGAGGGCGTTAGAGCGAGGACAACAGCGGGCAATGGAACCCAGACATGCGCTCGCGGGCCGGGAAAAGAAGCAACCCGAGGCATCAGGGGGAGGGGAGGGGAAGGTAGGGGAGGGGAGGGGGGGAGGGGGGGGGGGGCGGGACGCACGAAGGCTCCACCTGAAAGAATCCAAAAGAAAGATGACACATGGTAGGCGATGGCAGAAAGGAAGCTGCCAGCAGCGGGATCAGTGCCAGCCGGGGTGTCGCCATCGTGGTAGGTGATGTTGTCTACCAGACTGGGAGCTTGCTCGGAATCCGAGCCGTCGGAGACATCCGAAGAGCAGACATCCTGAATGGCAGCCGGCGACTCCGGCGCAGGACCGGACACAGACGTCGGCCGCCGCCGAACCTCGCCAGACGGCTGAGCGAGGCGGTCCTTGGTGCTCATGGGAATACTTTCACCACACGCGGGAGAGAGAGAGAGAGAGAGACAGAGAGAGAGAGAGAGAGAGAGGCCAGCGGGAGGCCCAGGAGAATTGAGAGGGGGAGAGAGAGAGAGAAGAGGGGAAGGCGGCGGGGAGAGGCGGATGCAATGGGAGAGGAAGGAGCTGGGGCTTTCTGATGGCCGAGGGAACAGGTAAGCTCCCACGATGGGGCCTTTTGAATGGGCGAGAAGAGGGGATCTGCCGAGGTGGGGCCGCCCGTCCTCCCCCTCGCCCCCTGAGAGACAACGGAGGGGGAGACTGTGGGCGCGCCACGTTTCCACGCGCATGCATGGCCCGGCCCCGTGAGCCGGCACCGGCGCAAATTCTAGCGAGGAAGACTGGCGCGAAGACGAGCAGGGGAGGGGGGCACAATCCGGCGCGAGGTCACATACTCAACGCGCAGGGACATCCCCTGCCCACTTGGGAGGCCCCCTTGTGGTGATGACCGACCGAGATCGCGGGCTGATGGGGCCGGCAATGGGCAAGCGGACACAGGCTTAGCGGGGCGCGGGGCGCGG